AGGGTTGAAGTGGTATTTATTTTGTAATAACTGGTGAACCTCTTCTAAAGTGCTGTTCTGATACCTCATTGTGGCATGTGACCCTGGGGTCCTGAAGACTGGCAAGGCTTTAAGTATAAGCCTAGCTATGTGTAGAAAGGCTCATCATCAGAAAGCTAAATATAAGTTAACAAACTATTTTGACTAAGGAAACTGATGAAGGCTGTCTATTAAAAAAAACTGAGGTTTGCATCAGTGCATCTGTTTGCATTTTTAATCAAATCACCGATCTCTTGAGGTACTGAAGTGATGAATAACTAGAAATGCTAAAAGCATCCAGGGTATCTGGTATAATAAGCTTGAAAGAGATTTTCATTTCTGTTTTTACGACCAAAAATTGATTTATAAATGCAAATTTGTGAATGGCTAAAACTATTATTAAAGGAAGGCAGTTTCTCTTGCAAGATTATCATTTTTTAAGGAATTCTTTCCTGGTTGGAGTTCTGTCATTCAGCAGAAGTTAAAGTCAAAGTTCAGATTTTTAAAAATCCAAACAGTAAAGAAACAATCTGATCATTTGTAAAGTCCAGCTGGGAGGTAATGTAGCTACTAGAGCCCAAACTGGGAGGGAAAATGCTTCTGCTCTTTTGGAGCTTCGCTCAAACCATTGGGCAAACCCCAAGGATAAGGTGGAGAGAAGAGATTGGAGGGACAACATGCTCTTTCCTCATCTTAGACTCCAAAAAAAGTTGTTTTTTATTCTGTCTAGACTTTTAAAATCTTGAAAAGCTTCTGGACTAGGGTTGTCCCACCTTAATTTTAGAACAGTTTTTACCTCAAAGCCTTTCAAACTTTCTTTGATTTCCCTAGGAGACTTTTTCTGCTTTTAAAACTTTGTTCCTCCCGCACACACTCTTTGGTATAAATAATAATCCAGCTGTATTCACGTGTGATGCAATTCCCAGAATCCCTCAGTGTTTTGACCTTTTGTTCTTTATTATTAGCTGGGTGACTGGGGTGATTCACTTGACTGTCAAATGTCTTAGGCAGCTCTCTGAGTCTATATAAGCTACAAACAAGTTGCTCATCTGCATTGGTTGATTGTTTCCGGATTGGGAACTCCCTACACTGATGAAATACTGGGTTCTGGCAGGGGAAAAAAAAAAAAAGAATTCCGTATTATACCTCCTTAGCAGATGTATCATTTTGTTGAAGGGATAGATGAAAATTTAGTCGGATTCAGTCAGTATCATTCTTAAGCTAAGGAGCTGAAGGGCAGTTAATAAGCACTGCAAGTTTTCTTAGGGGCAATAGAAATTTTAGAGCAATAGTTGTGTTATAATGTCTAAAACTATGAAATCCATTAAAACTTCTTGTCATTGCTTGACCTTGTGTGTACATAGAGGAGGAAGCTTCCCACATCTATAATAAATAGGACTCTGGGAAGGACCCTCTGATCAGAAACATCTTCATTATTGCTGGTGCCTGAAATGGTCACATCGCTACTGCATATTAGCCAAATAACCCTAGATAGGTCACATGGCCTTTCTGAGCCTGGTGTTGCTCTTTTACAAAATGTAGGGTTGTGCTAGATGTTTTTAAGGCCCCTTCCTACCAGTCTATGTTTCTGTGAAAATCACTTAACAGGAGACAGAGTATGACATTCTATAATTAGAAAGTTTACAATACATAATCTTCTTGGAGAAGAAATATAGTAACTTGAATTCGTAAAGTTGTGTTGTTGTAATTACAAAAAAATACTTATTTTATATTACTACCAAGCTACACAAAAATCTGTCTTAGTGCTCCTTACTGGGAGCTCTTCTGCTCCTAGACCCTCCTCCATCCACCCTATAATCTCTTGAGGTAAGGAAGATGTTGGGAGTCCCAGACCCTACCTAGCCCAGAGAAGTTGGCAGGAGACTGAGTCTAAATAGAACTTTGACCACCCACTTCACCTGCTCCACCCCCAGGCAGGCCAGAAAGCAGTTGAGTGGTCAAAGCCCAGCATCGCTAACTTTTGCCTGAATACCCTGCCCAATGGAAACTGTTAATAATGCAGTTGTAAATGTCATGAAGGAGCCCTGCTTTCCCACATACATCTAAAGAGGATCACAGATGAAAGAACAATAAAGAAAGACAAAGAGGACAGTAAAGCTCCCCTGTCTAGTTCATAAGTGCATGAAAAGGAGGATGGAAGAGGTGACACAGAAGTGAGCTCAAGCTCCACTAAGGGAGATAATTTATGGGTCATCAGAATCCCTAAAAACCCCGACCAAACCAATGGATGTTCTTGTTTTGAGAAAAATGCCCAGATCTGTTAGAATCCTGGTTAAAAAAAAATCCAGCAATCATCTCCTAAAAGAAATCCCTAACCAAAAACACCCAGAAATTTCATATTCAAAATCTAGAGCTTCCAAGTCAAAGAAAAAGAATACTACAGGCAGCCAGAAAGAAAGATTGCAGGTACCAAGAAACCATAGTCAGAATCACACAAAACTTTATGATAATTACATTTGAGAAAAGAAAATCTTGGAATACAGAATTCTAAAGAGTAGAAGAAAACTGCTTTTACAAACGAGAAACTTACTCTGAAACATTGAACACAGTTCTACAATGGAAAAAATGGAGCTTTAATAGACTAGAGGACTTTCAAGTGTTCCCAGTGAAAAGACTGGAGCTATTTACAATCTTTCAATTCTAAACATGAGTTGAGAGAAACCTTGAAAGAGTAATATGTGTGAGCATCGGCTTCCATGAATTTAACAAGGATGTCCGTTGTCAACACTAATCTTTCATATAGTTTTAAAAATGTTTGGTGTAACAATAAGACAAGAAAAAATGTTGAGGAAATAAACATAGGAAAAGAGAAAAACAAACATCACTTTTGAAGATAGACATGATGTTTTAGAGAACCCTAAAAGTTAAATTAAAATTGATTTAATTAATTTTAGCAAAATGGCATAATATAAAACACATCCACAAAAAATTATCAGTCTTTTTATTATTGCCAGCAAAACTTAGCAGGCAGAGATAGAACAAGAAATTCCTGTCAAAAGAACCAATGGATATATAAAATGTCTGGGTGTGGACTTAGTTTAACATAGATAGGAATTTTATGAATATCACTACAAAAAAGCTTTTACAAAAACACAGGCAAATTATTGGAGAAATATTGGTTACATATGGTTATGCCTTGCCAAGATAATAAAAATTACAGTACTAGCTAAACTAAGTTGCATATAATACCACATCGATTATACTAACAAAGGGTAACTTTACAGAACTAGAAAAAATATCAAAATTCCTTGAGGCTATTGTTCAATCTCTAAGCTCCCTTTCTCAATCAGATTCCTTAGAAAAAAACATCTACATTGACTACCTCCACTTCCTCTCTTCATTCCTCAACTCTTTGCAATCTGGCTTCTGACCTAGACATTCAATTGAAACTGTCCTCTCCAAAGTTACCAGTGGTCTCTTAATTATAAAATCTGATTGTCTTTTTCTCTGTTCTCATTCTTCTTGACCTCTGTTGCATTTGACCCTCACCTTTTTTTCTTGCATATTCTGTCCTCTCTAGTTTTTGTGACACTGATTTCTCTTGGTTCTCCTACCTATCTGACCACTCCTCTGTCTTCTTTGATGGCTTATAATCTGTATCACAGCCTCTAACTGTGTATGTTCCCCAGTTTTCTGTCTTAGGCTGCCTTCTCTTCTCCCTTTATACTTTCTTTTGATAACTATGAAAGACTTAAGAAATATAATCAATCAAGACTGATGATAAATCATGTTTCCTACCTCTTGGCAAAGAGATGATGAACTGAAGGTGTAGAGGGAGACACTTTCAGACAAGACCAGTATATGATATTTTGTTTGATTATACTTATTTGTTGTAAGGGAAGGCTTTTATGGAGTGGGTTAGGGTTATGGGAGGAATTGGGGGGGGGGATAGTGATCCCCCCAAAAAAAGATGGAAAGAAGCATCAGTGAAACATTTTTTAAAATACAGAAAAGATCAGAAAGAATTTCAGAAGAGGACACAGGCAATCAGTTATTTTGGCACTTCTTTTTGTTTTTGTTTTTTTTTTAGTGAGGCAATCGGGATTAAGTGACTTGCCCAAGGCCACACAGCTAGAACATGTCAGGTGTTTGGTCTGAGGTCAGATTTGAACTCAGGTCCTCCTGACTTCAGGGCCGGTACTCTATCCACTGCGCCACCTAGCTGCCCCTATTTTGGCACTTCTTTGAGAAAATTAATATGTACTTTAAAATAAAAACAAGCTGTGTGTAATAGAGATTTGCAGTGTTGTATACAAACCTTTTTCTGTTCTTTGGGTAAGGAAATGTTTACATTGACATCGAGTTCATAATAACAAATGATATTTTCTAAATACTTTTTTTAGTTACTCAATGTGAGTGACAAGTTATCAGATAATTTCCCAAAAGTAGGTTTTAAGGTGGAAAAACAAAATAAATTGGGCAGTATATGAGATCACTAAACTCTGTGGCTGACGTGTGTGTGTGTGTGTGTGTGTGTGTGTGTATGTGTTGGGCTTGACTAGGTTTCTCATGAGTGAGAATGCATGATGTAATAGAAAAGCATATACTAGGAGTTTAGGAGATAAAGGTTATAATCTCAACTCTGTTACTGACTAGTTGAGTAACTTCAGGCAAGTAATTTAAGGTCTCTGGGCCTCACTTTTCTTATTAGTAGAATGAAGGAGAATGAGATTAGCTCCAGAGTTCTTTGACCCTCTGATATTTTTCCTACTGCATAGGTTTTGTGGGGTTTCTTTTCCCTCTAGGATCAACCTTCAGTTATTGTAATATGGACTATTTTTTTTTCTGAATTCATTAAATTTCTAGTGTCAGTATGTACTGGGTTCCTCCAATTTGTATTGCATTTTCTGCTATTTACATTAATTTCTTAGAAGTTCCTTAGTAAATATCCCCATTGTTCTACCTATTCTATTTGAAGAATCCTGTATGGGGGCTTTAGCATAACTTATAATGATGCTTCCACAAAACCAACATTTAAAAAGGAGAAGCAGTATTCTAACCCTTTAAAAAATCATTAGTTTCCAATAGATGGTTAAGTCATAATGATCCCTTTATGCAAAGCTCACAATTTGTTTTATTACAGATCTTCACTTTAAAGTAAGCAATTAGTAAAGCATAGTAAACAATCAGAGGTGGTGTGTTATAGTGGACAGAGAGCAGACCTTAGTGTCAAGAGCAAGTTGTACATAATAGTTTTGCAGTTTCATTTGTAATCGCCTTTTTTATTATACTATGTTATGGAAATGTTTGTTTTATTCCATAAATTATAAATTAATTACAAAAAAAAAAACCAGACAAACAAAGAAGCAGCAGCAGCAGCTTGACACTGGATTCAGGTCCCACTTCTGAGACCTACTGGCCATGTGGTCATTTAATTTCTCAGTGCTCCATGCACACTGAGTTGCAGGCAGCTCTAAGTTTCAGGCAAGGTACAGGCCCATGTTGGTAGGGCATTCCTTCACTGGGAATTCCCCTTGTCCTCGAATATTCTTAAGAAAAATTGAGCTAATTACCTCTATTTGCTGTATTTTTCCATAGGCCTCAGAACAGTGTAGAAGAAGCAGCTTTCATATATAAATAGAATTCCTGTGGCCATGTATGCTTGAACCCATTTTAAAGAAAATATATAGAGATTATGAAACATTAAGGTAGCAAATTAATTTTCCATACTAACAGCTGTGAACTAAATTTTTGTTTTTTTTTTTTTTTTTTTTTTTTTTTTTTTTTTTTTTTTTTTTT